CTCGTTATAGGCGGTGCGATAGCTGGTATCGAGCATGGAAGAGCTCCTCAATTCTGGTGCGAGTGACGGGCCGTGGCCGACAATGGCCGACGCCGACGAGCCAGTAAATCATGCATGGTGCGGTGCCTCATACATCTGCGCCTGGCGGCGGCGCAGCATAGCCAGGCCGGGAATTGTCGAGACGACGAACATAACCGCAATCGCGGCGAGATAGCCTGACGCGCTGCCCGCCTCCGCGGGTGCTTCGACGCCGAAGAACACATCAAGATCGCCCATCGCGTTGATAAAGGCGTGGATGCCGATCACCGGCCACAGGCTGCGCGTATAGGCTGCAATCCCGGCGAAGCCGATCCCCAGCAAGGTGGCATAGATGACCTGCGGGACAACATCGCCGAGCGGCGCCTGGAAGATGTTGTAGGCATGTGCGAGGCCGAAGATCAGCGCCTGCGCGAGCCCCGCTTTGACCAGCGCATTGGGCTGCGCCTGCCAGGCACGATAGAGGTAATAGAAACAGAACCCTCGCAGCAGGATTTCCTCGAACAGACCGGTCGATATGCTGCTGGTGTCGGTGTCGTCGAGTGAGACTGAGAGCGCGATAGCCGCGGAGAGTAGAGTGACACCTAGCGAGGGGCAGACCTCTCGATGATGGACGAGCCATGGCGCCAGCCAGGCGGCAGGCGAGTTCACACGATCCCAATATATCAAACGCGCCATTTTAGCGCGCCAGCACGACTTATACGTCAATTACGCCACCCACGATAACACTTTCGATGTTTGTGAGTGTTCCGACGGGCGTTGATCGAATCCCTTGTGCGACAAATCACGACTCCCACCGAGCCGCGCCGCGCGGCTCACTGCCAGTGTCCGTCACTCGCTACCACCGACACCCGTGCGTGTGTCTCACTAGAGAGGTGAGATGGCGTCGACATCTTGAAACGGATTCGTGCACGCAACAACCCCACGCAAGGACGGGCCGCCAACAGGCGAGTCACCGACAGCTCAGTGCTCACGAACGGCCCTCCACACTCCACACTCGAGCCGTGTCGACTCGAGTGAACGTCTCTTGCAACAAGCTACCACCCAGCGCCGGGTGCGCCAGCGTGGCTGTACCCGTGGCAGTACCCGTGGCCATACCCGGCCGGCGCCACGCCCCCGTACCCGCCTCCCCCCACGTCGTACCCGCCCGTGGGCAGCGGCGCGTACCCCGCGACCGCCGCAGCGCCGTAGCCGGCCGCAGCGAGTGCGTGCTGCGCGTGCTGCGAGTGCTGCGAGGGCGGCGGCGTGGCTGCGACGTAGCCCGCTGTGTGACCTACGGATACGGCAGGGTGTGTGTATCTCTCTCTAAGGCAGGGTGACCTCCTCCACACACACGAGGTGGTCGGGCAAGGGCCAGGCGACCCTCGCGTCTCCACGTCTAGACGACAGGAGCCCCGGGGCATTCAAAGTGCAAGGTCCGGTGCGCGTGGGTGAGCGGTGTGTGTGTGTGTGTGGCATGGAGAGATATGGGGAGATACGGGGAGATACGGGGAGAGATGGGGAGAGATGGCCTGCAGCATAGCCCGCGGGCGGCGGAGGCGCTGCCGCGAGAAGAGGCTGCGAGAGAGTCTGGACAGACGTCTCTGCCGCCCACCGCAGCGCCTGCAATCTCGGGGGATCTCGGGTCACCTCGGGCAATCTCTGGAGACAGGCCGTCTCCGCCGCCCGCCGCAGCGCCTGCTCCGCCTGCGGTGTTTGCACCGGCCGCTGTGAGCTCCCCATACCTCCCCATATCTCCCCA